GTGCCAAAGAAATACCAGGTGTATCCCTCTGAATGCATATAGCCAATCTCCTGGATTTGCCACCACCCATATATCTTTAATGATCTTCCAGATGTTGCTTTCTTAAGATGTTTACATTCTTTATCAGATTATCTTTTACCCCTGGCGCCAAGCACTTTAGCATATTTTCAGATATCAGAGTCTTAGGATAGTATTTTCTTTGAGATTTAAACAAAAAAAAATTCTACATAGTACTTGTAATCTCTTTCACAGTTGTAATTGCCTTTCACAAAGCTGACTTTGTCTGATTTTTTGCTTCTGCTGTTTATATCTTGGTAGTGCTACTTGTTGGTTCCTTCATAAACAGTGACAGCAATCTTCTGAACTAGGCTGAGGCCCAGTCAAGTGTGGACAGACATATGTATCTCTTATCTCACTGTGGTTTCATTTTTCTGCGTGTCTGCCCTAATCTAAGCTTGTACTGGGAGCTGCAGTGCATCTCGTGTCTCGGCCTAGGGAGGAATAGTTCATTGCATATTTTCTCAGAGACAGCTGGGCGCTTCGCAGGGAGTGGTCCCCCCTCCCTGTCACCAGGGCAATCTCTTTCACATCCCCCAGGACAGATGGAGAATGAAGAAATTAATAATTCACAGTGTGTATATAAGTGGTGATTCGTCCTAGACTGAAATGTACTTGCATTTTGTTCAAAAACATCTTGATGAAGAGAGGCCCAATGGTGAACTAAGAGTGAGAACATAGGAAGTAGGGAAACTCTACTAAGAAAATGGACAAGACAGGCCAGGCAGGGTGGCTCACGTCTGTAATCCCAGCACTTTGGGAGGCTGAGGCGGACGGATCACCTGAGGTCAGGAGTTTGAGACCAGCCTGACCAACATGGAGAAACCCTGTCTCTACCAAAAATACAAAATTACCCCGGTGTGGTGGTGCATGCCTGTAATCCCAGCTACTCGGGAGTCTGAGGCAGGAGAATCCATTGAACCTGGGAGGCGGAGGTTGCAGTGAGCCGAGATTGTGCCATTGCACTCCAGCCTGGGCAACAAGAGTGAAACTCTGTCTCAAAAAAAAAAAAAAGAAAAAAGAAAATGGACAAGACAGACTGAAATTAGCCAGCAGCCATTAGCTCAGGTACCGTTTAAGTGCTCATTGTACTGATTGATGTTTGGATAGTGCATTAGCAGAAATATTATTTACTTGCACTTACTTTCATGTGATCTGTAGGACTCAGGGGTCCTGTTTGTGTCTATAGTCATAGTTAAGTTTATAGTCAGTTCCTGGTTGGTGCTGGGGAAAAGAAATCAGGATGCATTCATTGTGAAATACCCTTACTCTCCTCTCAGGAGAGAAGAGGAAATGAGCGTGTTCTCTCTCTTGGTTAGAAACAGATAAAACTGTGTCCCATTAGCAATTGGATAGGAAACGATAACTGGAACCTTCTGTCTAATCTGGTTTCCTTAAATGTACGGAGCAGATAACTGCATCTGGGGAGTAGTGCTCTTAGTAAGGGTTATGGGGGCTTCAGTTGCAATGGCTCCAGTTGAAGAGCCGTGGGATTTTCATCTGTCCTGAATCATCTGAGTGTTATTCTTCTTCAGATTAACTGGGTTTATCTGTTACAGTATATAATTATGTTGCTTTGTTATATATTTGAAAAGCACTTAGCATGTTTTGAAATGTAGCGCTGAAGTGACTTTAAAATGTCAACTCTGTAGTTTTAGTTTTAGGGCACAGTTCTTGCAAATTCCTGCTTTTCCTCTCTGTCTCTAGTACCTCTGAAGTCAGTAGTTGCAAACAAACAACCTTAAAGCCTTTTGTATCACTTTTCTTTGGGATAGTTGTTGAATTCAATAGTTCATTATTTCACATAATATTGTGTTCATAGTACAATTTAACATGTAGTCTTTGAATGTTATAAATTCTAAAAGATTAAACAAGAATATTAGAAAAGGAATGAAAAGTGCCCTTAAAATGCTGCCCTAGGCTGGGCACGGTGGCTCACTCTTATAATCCCAGCACTTTGGGAGGCCAGGGTGGGCGGATAACCTGAGGTCAGGAATTCAAGACCAGCATGGCCAACACGGTGAAACCCTGTCTCTGCTAAAAATACACAAATTAGCTGGGTGTGGTGGCAGGTGCCTGTAATCCCAGCTACTCGGGAGGCTAACGCAGGAAAATCGCTTGAACCTGGGCGGTGGAGGTTACAGTGAGCCAAGATCACTCCAGCCTGGGGACAACAGTGAGACCCCCTCTCAAAAAAAAAAAAAAAAAAAAAAAAAAAGAAAGGAAATATACATAATAGGAATTCCAGGAATTTTATGGATTCTTCTTTTTAAGGTCCCGGTCACCGGGCGTGGTGGCTTATGCCTGTAATCCCAACACTTTTGGAGGCTGAGACGGGCGGATCACCTGAGGTTGGGAGTTTGAGACCAGCCTGACCAACATGGAGAAACCCCGTCTCTACCAAAAAAATGCAAAATTAGTCGGGTGTGGTGACAGGTGCCTGTAATCCCAGGTACTCGGGAAGCTGAGGCAGGAGAATCGCTTGAGGTTGTGGTGAGCTGAGATTGCACCACTGCACTCCAGCCTGGGCAGCAAGAGTGAAACTCCCTCTCAAGAAAAAAAAAAAAAGTCCCAGTGAACTGTGGGCACAATGTAACACTTACACACTTAGGCTGAGTTACTCTCTGTACTAGGCAGTCATGTGCATAGGTTCCTTTGTGTGTTCATGGTAATCGTTCAAATCTTGGATCCTTGGCGATCCTTAGAGCCACTCAATACTTCTGCCCCAATTTCTCAATTTCAGCCATTACACAATCAGTTATCCAAGGGATACACTTGGCATACAGACAGTCCATCATTGACTGCACTAAGTCCAATTTGACTTTTATGGAAAAGCTGATAAAGTTGGTATCAACGAGGATGTGGTAAGGTGGGCCCAGCTGTGTATTATATTGGAAAAATAAGCAGGAAGGGTGTTGGGGAACTTCTCTTTCCTTTAACGCGCTGGGATCCTTCTTTTCTTTCTCTTTAGGTTTTACTCTGTCCTTTTCTTTAAGCTTCCGATCTCTGAGACTAAGCATTCACTTCATGGTTGCATAGTTCCTTTTTTTTTTTTTTGCTTCCTCATGGTGATGCCACACTCCTGTTTCATCCATAATCACCAACGGTGCAATACTTTTACCTGGTATACATTTTTATGTTAGTCAAACTGTCTCTGTCCTTTCTAATAGATTCAATAAAGATAAGTGTTTTATTCGTGGATTTAAGGGCATAAATCTGAAGCTACATGAACTGAATTGCTTATCATGTAACACTTGATTTTCCTTTTGCATGACCAAATCTCTTTTCTACTCTATTTTCTAATACTAAGTTATTGTAAAATTGTCACGGTTTCATATATTCCCAAAACCAGGAATGTGTCTTATCTGAACTTCCTTAAACTCATGATGAGTCAGAGGAGGCCAGTCTTCATTAGTAATCAGCACCAAATTCATTTCAAAGAAAGATCTGTGTGGACATAGGATTGGTATGGAGAAAAATATGGTGATAAATTAACTGTGTCTCTTGTGTAGTTGAGTAATAGAATTTCATTGTCGAACCCTGACCTGAGATACATGTTTTCTTTTATCAAAGTAGAAAATGAGTTGCTGTAAGTAAAGAAACTGTATTAGATATTGTGTAACATGGAGATTTTTTTTTCTATTAAGTACTAATATTGCTTTTGTTTCTGTTCCAAACTTTGAAATCAATGCACTTGGAGAAAATGGAAACTACTTTTCAAGGTCCTACAGAATAGATGTTTATGAATATATTTTCATGCATGATTGGTAATGAATCAGGTCTCTTTCATGCCATTGCAGTTAGAGGGCCTCTGGTGCTAGAGTCCTCTGGAGGACTGGGCTGTCGGAGTGGGGGCAGCGGGGTGTGTGCGGGGAGGGCTTTTCTCTTTCTTCACGGGGTCTCAGGGCCTCTCGTTTCCTCTCCACGTATGCTCTTCCCAGGTCTCTCCAGCAGGGTAGCCAGGTATCTTACATAGGGCTCCCAAAAGCAAACATTCCAAGAGGAAGCAGGAGCTGCCAGTCCTTTTAAAGACGAGGCCTGGGTCTGACATGGTGTGACTTTTATTGCATTCTATTGGTTAATGCAGATTACGGGCCCCGTCAGTTTCAGATCAGAAGACAACAAGGGAATGAGGCTGGGTTCCTTGGAGGCTATTTTTTTTTTTTTTTGAAACAGAGTCTCGCTCTATTGCCAGGCTGGAGTGCAGTGGTGTGATCTCGGCTCACTGCAACCCCTTGGAGGCTATTTTTAGAGATGAACTATCACAGTAATATACCTTAAAAATGCTTCATTTTAGACAGTTTTTGTGTGTTGTAGGGGTGGTCAGTTGCGCTAACCAAGAATCTATGAGGTGTGGTTAGCCAGCAGTATATCAGAAGAGCTGTACTACCGGGGCTGCCACTCTAAGCACTTCAGCTATGCAAATTTTGATCAAAACTAAGCCAGACATTTGGATGTTTCTTGGTGGGGGAGGAATTTCCTGTCCCCAGGGACAATGAGGTTTCCCTAGGTTGGAACTGGGTGTGATGCAGCCCCTCTTGCTGGCTCTTCCCACATCCCCACTGCTCCTCCCGTCCTCCTCTGTCTCCAGGTTGGTAGAGGAGTCAGGCATGAGGGGAAGGAGAGCACTTCCCTTAGCAAGTTATCGTTTAATGGGAGCTGGTGGGAAGAGTTCTATCATTTAATACTCCTTGCTGGTGGTGCTATATGTAGTGAAATCAACTGCGACAGTGATAGGGACCTTAGAGATCATCAAGTCCTACCTCTACACCATGAAGTTAATCTTCTCTCACCATCTCTGGCACATCCCTCAGCAAGCTAGAAACAGAACTCTGCGTTTTTTCCATAAAGTACGAGAAATAATGATTTCACCTTTAAATACTGCCTTCTTGAGCAAGTGTCCATTTGGTCACCCAGATTTCATTGGTCCTAACTTTCATCAGGTTGTTCTTGCAGAACGTGCCAGTAGAAGCATTCACCAACTGAAATGTGCCCTGAAAGAAGGTGATGTCACTATTGGAGGAGATGCACCAAATCTTTCTTTTAGCACCAGTGTGGGAAATGAGGATGCCAGGACAGCCTGGCCCGAATTACAACAGAGCCATGCTGGTGAGTATGAAAGTCAGTCCTAGCCTGAATGATGCATAGTGAATTTTTTAAACTCCGTAGAATAATAAGTCCTTTCATTCTTCGTTCTGCTGCTATGATGTTATTCCTGAAACACAAATCAGATAATTTAATTCCCTTGCTTAATCTTTTTTTCTTTGACTTCCCAATGCCTATAGGCGAAAGTCCGAAATTCTTAGTTACAAAATAACAGTGTTTTCCTAAGATAGCTCCAACCTGCCTCTTTGGCTCATCTTTGTGTACTTCTCATGTTAATCATCCATCTCACAACTCATATTCTAGTTATAATGACCTCCTCGCTATGCTTTTATGCTTTGACATGTGCAGTGCCTTCTAATTGGAATTTTTCTTATCCTTTTCTGCTTGGTGAACTCCTTCCTGTTCGTCCTTGCAGTGTTATCTCCTCTGTGAAAACAAGCACAATTAGGTGCTTCCTCTTCTTGTAGCACAGTGCACAGCTCTAGGTCTACATACAAACTTATTTTATATCAGTGTCTCTCTCTTCATTGCTAGATTCTTAGCACTTAAGGGGTAGAAATTCTTTTTTTTTTTTTTTTCTGATGTTGGTCTTTGTATCCCCAGTTGATAGCAGAATTCTTGATGCATAATATGTATTTCAGCAATTTTTATTAGTTGGAAAGATGGATGGGTGGTAAGAAACCATGGATCTCAAATAAGGTTAATAACCCCTCTGCTTTTGCTCTATAGTTAATCAGCTCAAAGATTTGTTGCGCCGACAAGCAGATAAGGAAAGTGAAGTATCTCCATCAAGAAGAAAAATGTCCCCTTTGGTAAGTATCAGCTTTTCCAACTTGACAAAGCATTCCTATGTTTTACTGTACTGTGTCATTTTGTAGTACATGTTGCAGAAAAAATTTAAGCATGGCATGCTAATAGTGAAAAACATTAAAAGTAATTCTTTTCCCTCTGATGATTTTGGCTGAAAAAATAGATTTCCATGGCAGAGGGAATATTGATATTTTTAATTTATTATTCACTTGGAAAATGGGAGCAAGGGAATAGTTGGGAGAATTTATTTTGCAACTGTTAGCAAAATATGTAATACAAATATATAATATATAATAAATTAATATAAATTATATAAGTCAAAGGAGAATATATGTAAAAGATTAACTAATGATTTTAGTAATTTCTTTTTTAGAGGGCCATATCTATCATCCATCATTTTTAGAAGTTACTTAATTATAATTGTAGCCCACCTTTGTAATATTTAAAAATTTTGAATGTCAAAATAATACATTTTGTTTTTAATTAATTAATTTTTTTGAGAGGGAGTCTCATTCTGTCGCTCAGGCTGGAGTACAGTGGCATGATCTTGGCTCACTACAACCTCTGCCTCCCCGGTTCAAGTGATTCTCCTGCCTCAGCCTCCCTAGTAGTTGGGATTACAGATGTGCACTACCACACCAGGCTAATTTTTTGTATTTTTAGTAGAGATGGGGTTTCACCGTATTGGCTAGGCTGGTCTCAAACTCTGAACCTCAGGTAATCCACCTGCCTTGGCCTTCCAAAGTACTGGGATTACAGGCATGAGCCACCGCACCCGGCCTCAAAATAATACGTTTTAATATGTAATGTTCTTCTATATGTTAAAATATATGGTTATAAAATTGTATGATATTTAAGAAGTGGTGCTGTATTTCTTCTGAGGCTGTTTTTTATTGCTTTGACAGAGTATATTATTCCTGATTAAAGCATTTTATATGCTAAAGGCTGAGATAGATGTGAGTGAAAGAACTCTGAACCAGATTTAAGTGGCCAAAATAATAGTCAAGGGCTTAGTTCTATCTAAGATCTATCACATACTCTCTAGGATATTGTGCCTGTCTCACGGAGTTTTTGGAATAACAAGATAAGATTACATACTTAAAATTCTTTAGAAACCTATGAAGTGTTACACAAACATAACATGTCAGAGCAGCAACCTCGCATTTTCAATGTGTTTTATAGTTCAATACAATGCCTATATGCTGAAAAGTATGGAGACATGTTACTTTCTTTTCTTCACCACTGAAATGTCAGAATATCACTCCCATAAGAACACTTCATTCCAGGCTGACACAAACTTTTAAGCTTAATTCTAACTTTAGAGAAATGTACTTCATATGCATATTCAATATTTATAGATATAGATTTTATAATTTTAATAAAACATCTCATTATTTAATGAATTTATTACTATTGACGTCTGGTTTCTAGCATGCTCTTAAGCACACACTGGTGGAATGCTTTTAAGTCTACCTAGATGCAGTTGCTTTTTCTGTTGAATACTCAGACATGCTTATTCGTTTTTTAAAGCATGAGCAAGTGATATTATGGAGCTTATTGAATCCAGGCAGGCTGGAAGACCTTCATTAAGAGAATCAGTTTAGTACATACAGAGTACACTTTAAAATATACAAGTCTATTTATATGGAGCTGTGTAAAAGAATGGAACTTAGACTCTAAATGTATATAGCCTACATGTAATAATTATAAACCATAATAGTAATAATTAGCTTTTTAAGATTATACCCTTAGAATGCACTTTCATAGCCAGTATAACGTATTAGAAATACATGCATATATTGAGAGTAAAACTGAGGCACTATTGAGATGGAAAAGAAGTTATTACTTACTGTCTTAAAATGTAGATATCCAAACTAAAGCCCTTTAAAGTAGACACAAATGATTTCAGGTGAACGTTTTTCATACAATATTAGCTTGAGCTTTTTATTTTTCACATTGACTTCCTGCTGTATACTCATAGTAGTAATTTATATTTGCTTACCTTCTGAACCTATTTCTATTAATGGAGGATGATTCTAATTGTTTGATTTCTACTCATGACAGATAATTCATTTAATTAGAGTTACTTTGGTTTTTAAATATCTTCAATACACCAAAAAGCAGAGCTCTATTTTATTTTATTCTGCCATGGTAGCTGGTGCTTGGTTATCGTTTAAAATTTCTGCTGTGCTGAGAAAGAGAACAGCTGAGAAACAGACACTGTGTCTCATTTCAAGCTTTCCTCTGGGTTTGTTTAACTGGGTGACCCTTGTTTTCCCTTTTCCTGATTTCCTCATCCTTTTAAAAAAAAATCATGTGATGTGTATATGATTTTACAAACTATATCACAGTCACTTTAAGATAAGGTAAGATATACATTAGCAGTAAGTTCCAGGAATGCTACAGAGCTAAAATAACATTAGTGTTTTTTTTTAAATCTCTTCGTTGGACCCCTCAACGAAAAAAGTAGTCAAACTACTTCAGGGCTCTACTCCTGGAGGTTCTATGCTCCAGAGCGGCATACGCTTGAATTGCCTTCAATACTAGAGTCAAAAATCGAAAACTATGTTTTGCTAATGTATCCTTTTTGAGATGGAATTTTATCGCATTGACACAGGCTTGGCATCAAAGAGTTCCTAAAGAATCTCTCCCTCACGGAGCTGCTGCAGTTTTAGCTAGCAAATCCTCTTCCATGGCAGTTTCTTGGAGAGAGTTGTCCCTTGTATCTCAGCATTACTGAATGGAATGTTGTTTTTCCAATTTGTTAAAATCGTTCATTCCAAGCCAGTTATACTACTGCTACCCCAGCATTTTTCCATTCACTATATGTGCTTTTTATAACCACTTTCACCATCCATCTTAAAAAACAAAATGATATTCACGTCCGTGAATCTTGTGTATTTGTGGAATTTATAGGATAGAGAAGCAAGTATTTGTGTTAGTCCATTCTCGTGTTGCTATAAATAAATACCTGAGGCTGGGTCATTTATTTGAAAAAGAGGTTTAATCAGCTCATGGTTCTGCAGGCTGTATAGGAAGTGTGGGACTGGCATCTCATTCTGGTGAGGGCCTCAGGATTCTGCAGGCTGTATGGGAAGTGTGGGACTGGCATCTCATTCTGGTGAGGGCCTCAGGAGACTTTCAGCCGTGGTGGAAGGTGGAAGGGGAGAAGGGCTCTGCAGGCTGTATGGGAAGTGTGGGACTGGCATCTCATTCTAGTGAGGGCCTCAGGAAACTTTCAGTCATGGTGGAAGGTAGAAGGGGAACAGGCTTTTCATGTGGTGAGAGCCAGAGCAAGAAGTGAGGAGAGGTGTCACATTCTTTTAAACAACCAGATCTCACCAAAACTCAGAGCAAGAACTCATTATCATGAGGATAGCGCCAGCACCGAGGTATTCATCCATTCATCGTGACCTAAACACCTCCCACCAGGCCCCACCTCCAATGCTGGGGGCTGCATTTCAACATGAGGTTTGTGGGGGATAAGCATCCGAACTATATCAAGACTGTAAGCTACATTGCGATCAATTATATGTTTATATCACATCAATGCACAATTGAGTATGGAGAAGGTAACAACTGATTCTTTGCTAAATCCAAACATGCTTAATTTTGCTTTTTAAAAATTATGTATGTATGTATGTATGTATGTATTTATTTATTTATTTTTGTCATAGAGGTCATTAGAACATGAGGAAACCAATATGCCTACTATGCACAACCTTGTTCCTATTATTAATGACCAGTCTCAATATATTCATCATTTAGAGGCAGAAGTTAAGTTCTGCAAGGTAAGTTTCTCATTAAGAATTTAAAACTAAATAAATTAAAGCTTATATTAACTATACATTGTATACAAATTTGCTACTATAAATCTTCATGTTTGTAGCAAGGCAATGACAATTGCTATTCTTACATGATTGAGAGACTGATGTGTCACAAGAGCTTGTCAGACTTGGGAATGATGCTCTTGACCATACCATTTCTGATTGCTTGATTTCGCAGTAGTTCATTACTATGTCTAATGATTTCATAATATGCTCTCATGTTTCAGAAGTTTTCCTTCTCACCCCACTTGCTGTAACCCAGCAAATGGCAAATGCTTTGGAATACAAATAGCAATCATTCTCCCGCACTTGTCAACCTGTTGGGGCAGGGGTACAATAATCAGGGATTCTAAACTGGCAAGACCAGTTCTTCTCCACTGTCAGTATTAGGCTCTTACTTTGACTTTGAATGAGAATGGTTCATAGGGTACTGACAGTAGTGATCAAGAAACCAAACACATCATATATAGCTTGTGACACTAGAGGGTTATATGCTCAACTGTGTGCAGTTTACTAATGTCATTAATGCTAATAGAGCCTTTTCATCTCCCCAAAGTATGTCGTGTTTTACTTCTTTTCTTTCTCTCCCTCTTTCTTTCTTTCTAGTTTCAGTGTATTAGATTGTACAATATTTTTATAGGAATTACTGATATCTCTTGTATCATGTTTTTACATATAGTGTATGATATTATGTATTATATTGTTGACATTTTAAGATGATGCAAGGCCAGTATGTAACTTAAGGAGGCTTTAGATGTTTCACTCTCCTGATTTTACCAGGGAATTTCTGATCTTAACATGTAATTTCCTGTTCTTGGAGGACACAGTCATTAATATACAGGTGGTCTTGGATTACCAGTAAAGCTGAAATAATATCCTAGGAACTATTTCATTAACAAGGCTCTATTAATCCCTAAGATGTTGTGGATAAAACTTGAAAGATATAAAGCAGAATGTATTTACCATCTACTTGAGAAGACAGAACTATTCCCTATTAACACCATAAGCAGCACATTAGAGAATATAGTATAGGCCTTTACTTCTTGGTATAAGCTATGATTATAATAAGAGAAGAAAGTTAGGAAAAGCTAATGTCTTTGGGAATGTTTTTATGGGAGAGAGAGATCTTGAACCGGTCTTTTTTTTTTTTCAATTTTTAAAATTTTACTTTATGCTCTAGGGTACATGTGCAAAACGTGCAGGTTTGTTACATATGTATACATGTGCCATGTTGGTGTGCTGCACCCATTAACTCGTCATTTACATTAGGTATATCTCCTAATGCTATCCCTCCCCTCACCCCCCACCCCACAACAGGCCCTGGTGTGTGATGTTCCCCTTCCTGTGTCCAAGAGTTCTCATTGTTCTCCATATCCTCATTAGCATTTGGTGTTGTCAGTGTTTTAGAGTTTAGCTGTTCTAATAGATGTGTAGTGGAACTTCATTGCTGTTTTAGTTTCAATTTCCTGATCACAAATGACGCTGAGCATCTTTTCATGTGCCTATATTCCACCTATATCACATCTTTGAGTGAGGTGTCTGTTCAGGTCGTTCACCCATTTTTAAAATCAGGTTGTTCTTTTTTTATTGTTGAGTTTTAACAATTCTTGTTGTATTTTGGATGCCAATCCTTTATCAGATATGTCTTTTTCAAGTATTTTCTCCCAGTCTTTGACTTGGCATTTACTTCTCTTAACAGTGTCTTTCAATGAGCAGAAATTTTTAATTTTAATGAAGTTTAACTTACCAATTTTTTCTTTCATAGATTGTACTTTTAACTTTGCATTTAAAAATTTATTACCAAATCCAAGTTCACTATATTTTCTCCTTTCTTCTTCTAGGTATTTTATAATTGCTTATTTTACATTTAGATCATGTTTGAAGGACAGTTGTCCATATTTTGGGGTCTGTTTCTGGGCTATCCTGTTCCATTGATTTACTTGTCAATTCTTTTGCCAGTATCACTCTATCTTGATTACTGTAGCTTTATATTAAGTCTTGAAGTTGGGTAATATCAGGACTCCAATTTTATTCTTCTTCAATATTGTGATGAGTATTCTGGGACTTTTTTGTCTCCCTGTAAACTTTAGAATCAGTTTGTTGATATCCACAAAATAGGATTTGGATTGGAATTGTGTTGGATCTATTGATCAAGTTGGGAATAACTGGCATTTTGATACTATTGAATATTCCTATCCATGAACATGGAATATCTCTATTTACTTAGATCTTCTTTGATTACTTTAATCAGTGTTATGGTTTTCCTCAAATAGATCTTCTACAAATTTTGTGAGATTTATACCTATTTTATTTTATTTTATTTTTGAGACACAGTCTCGCTCTGTCATCCAGGCTGGAGTGCAATGGTGCAGTCTCGGCTCACTACAACCTCTGCCTCCTGGGTTCAAACAATTCTTCTGCCTCAGCCTCCTGAGTAGCTGGGACTACAGGCATGCGCCACCACACCTGGCTAATTTTTGTATTTTTAGTAGAGATGGGGTTTCACTACGTTGGCCAGGTTGGTCTCGAACTCCTGACCTCATGTTCCACCCGCCTCGGCCTCCTAAAGTGCTGGGATTACAGGCATGAGGAACTGTGCCCAGCTACCTATTTCATTTTTTAGTGTAAATGGTATTATGTATTTAATTTCAAATTCCAATGATTTATTGCTAATATAGAAGAAAACAATTGACTTTGTGTATTGACCTTGTATTCTGCAACCTTGGTCTAAGTCACTTATTAGTTCCAGCATTTTTTGTTGATTCTTTGGGATTTTCCTCATCAACAAGCATATTATCTGCAAACAAAGACAGTGTTATTTTCTCCTTTCCAATATGTTTAGATTTTGTGTTTTTTACATTTTTCATTTATTTTTCTTAATTAATTGTTTTGAGATAGGGTCTTGCTCTGTTGTACAGGCTGGAGTGCAGTGGCATGATCATGGCTCACTGTAGCCTTGACATCCTGGGCTCAAGTGATCCTCCTACCCCAGCCTCCCTGGTGGCTGGGACCACAGATGCACACCATCATGCTTGGCTATTGTTTTATTATTATTACTTTTTGTAGAGTTGAGGTCTCATCATGTTGCCCAGGCTGGTCTTGAACTCCTGGGCTCAAACAGTCCTGCTACGTAGGCTTCCCAAGGTGTTGAGATTATAGGCTTTAGTAAGTGTGCCCAGCCAGATTTTATTTTTTTAATTGTCTTATTGCATTAGCTAAGACTTTTGGAATGATGTTGAATGGTTGTGAGAGGGGCCATCTTTACCTTGTTCTTGATCTTAGTGGGAAACTGCTTTCTTACCATAAGGTATGTTAGCTATAGGTTATTTGTAGATGTTCTTTATCAAGTTAAGAGTGTTTCCCTCTATTCCTAGTTACTGAGAGTATAGATGCCTCTCGACTTACAATGGGATTGTGTCCTGATAAACTCATTGTAAATTGAAAACGCATTTAATATACTATAGAATATTGGTTGTTTACGCCTGTGATTGCACGGCTAACTGGGAGCTACAGCTCACTGCCACTGCTGCTGCCCAGCATCATGAGAGAATATTATACTGCATATTGCTAGCTTGGGAAAATATCAAAATTTGAAACTTGAATTATGGTTTCTACTGAATGCATATTGCTTTTGCAGCATAATAAAGTCAAAAAAATCATAAGTCAAACCATCGCAACTGAGGGACCATCTGTGTTTATCATAGATGGCTGCCGCATTTTGTCAAATGCTTTTCCTGCATCTACGGTTAAAATTATGATTTTTCTTCTCTACATTGTTGATGTGACATTAACTGATCCTCAAATGTCGAACCAATGTTGTGTAATTAGAATAAATCTTACTTTATCCTGGTGTAGAATTCTTTTTTACATTGTTGGATTTGATTTGCCAGTATTTTGTTGAGGATTTTTTCATCTACGTTCATTAGAGATATCGATCTGTAATTTTCCACTTGTTTTCACTTGGTTTGGGTATTAGGTTAATGCTGGCCTCATAAAATAAGTTAGCAAATACTTCCTCTTGAATTTTATGAAATACGTTATAGATAATTGGTATAATTTCTTTCTTAAATATTTGGTACAATTCACTAGTGAACTTATCTGGACCTGGTGCTTTCTGTTTTGAAAGGTTGCTAATTGTTGATTTAATTTTCTTGATAAATATAGGTTTATTCAGATTATTCTTCCCTCTGTGAGTTTTCATGGATTGTGTCTTATAAAGAATTGGTGCGTTTCATCTAGGTGACTAAATTCATGATCATGGAGTTGTTCATGGTATTTCTTTGTTATCCTGTTTTTTAAACATTTCTTTATTATCCTTTTAATGTTCATGGGATCAGTAGTGATAGCCCCGTTTTCACTTCTGATCTTAGTACATGATAGAATCTAATTGGTATTTTCTCTTTTTTTTTCTTAGTTAACTTGTATAGAGTCTTATCAATTTTATTCATCTTTTCAAAGACCCAACTTTTGATTTTGTTGTTTTTCTCTAGTGATTTTCTATTTTTAATTTCATTCTTTCACTCTGATTTTTACTATATGTTCTTTTCTGCTTACTCTGGAATTAATTTGCTGTTGGTTTTCCAACTTCTAAAGTAGAAGCTTAGATTATTTATTTGAAGTCTTTCTTCTTTTCTAATTTTTTGCACTCCTTTTGCTGCATCCTTTTAATAAGTACATAGCTTTTTATCAGTTGTATTTTAATTTTTACTTAGTTGAAAATATTTCTAAATGGATTTTGATACGTCTTGGATTCATGTGTGTCATTTAGAAGAGTGTTGTGTCATCGTCAGGTATTTGGGGAGTTTCGCAGCTGTCGTTCTGTTACTGATTTCTGGTTTAATTCCATTGTTGTCTGACCGCATACTTTCCGATTCCTTTAAATTCGTGAAGGTTTCTACATTGTAGTCTGCCCGGGTGAATGTTCTGTGTGAGCCTGAAGAAAACATGTGTACTGCTGGTCTTGA